AACAAGGAGACATATGCTGCATATTGTGTATTGTCCCAAACAAGAGCCATGGATGTTCTGAAAACATGTTATGAAGACTAACTGATCTTGGATACCCTTTTTTTTTTTTTTCTTTAAATCCTTATAGTATTTCTACAAAATAAAGACTCTGGCCTTTTTGTCTGTTTTGCCCTTAAACTCAGGACTCTAAAAGGCTTTGTAACATATGATCTTTTAAACTTTTTTTATCCCACATGCTCATTTGCGTTGTCGCTGTTGCTTTTCTAATGCAGTTGTCACTCCATAGAGCTTTTTGGCAGCACGCTGAAGCAGTGCAGTTTTCTACTCTTCGCTCAGATTTAAAGAAAAAGCTTTTGTTTACATCCTGTATGCTTGTTTGCGAGCCTGCACACTTTTCCTTTTTCTTTTCTTCTCCTGTCTGTGCATGAATGTAGGAGCGTGTGCCCCCGCTTATAGTATAAGCGGTTTCAACGAGCTACCAACTGGGCCAAATTTACCACACATCTCTCACACACGGCAAAGAAATATCAATCTTAACAAATGTAGCACTGTTTTCAGGGTGTATTTACAAATGCGTCTGCATCTTTAAGAGATTAGTTGTATTCTTTTTGTGCTCACGCTAATTTTTAGCAACATTTTGTGGCAGTGTCAACCATCGGGTAAAAATGTTGTTTTCGGGACTTTCTAACAAAACTGAAGCAGTTTTACAGGAATCATGTAAAAGACACAAAAACCAGCATATTTTATCTGATTTGAAGTGAAAGGATTTAATTTTTAAAAGTTGTTTTCATGTTTCACTAAATAAACTTTATAATGCACACTCACACGTACTGTTGTTGACGACGCCCTCTGCTGGCTGTTATTTGTACTGTTACTGAGGTTTCCTGTAACCTTCATAGCTTCAGGTGGTTTTCAGCTGTGATACAATCATCTGTCTGTCGACAAATACACAATAAATCGTTAAACACTAATCATCAACAAACTTAGTTATTATTTTACTTGTGATTGCCAAATTTAAGGTATAGTAAATTAAAATGACCAAAGATGGCTGTAACGTCACTTTCTTCTTCTTCTTTTGTTTCTTTTTACGTTGGCAGCCTATGAATTGTAATCACCCTCATTTCTTGTGTGCATTTATTTTCTCAGAGGAGTAAATATCCTTTAAAGAGAGAGCTTGTGAGATTTTGCGCCACCTTTGTGAGCTATGAATGCAGATCGGGAAACCTCAATCATTCAAAACACAGAAAAACTGACTTCAGCCGTTTCACAGTGAACTTGCAGAGACTTTAGATGGAGCCGAACACATTTGTATCTGTTGGAAAGTTATTAAAGAAAATATACAATCTGTGACTGTGTTTGTGTCATGGCGAATTAGTTTTATGGCTATAGATTTTGTTCTAGTAATGTGATTAAAGATTCCCCTTGTTTTAGGTTTAAATGTGTTATTTGTTAGTAGATTGTTTTCTTTAGGGTTTAAACATTTATTTCATGGGTCAATATTTGTTTTAGGAGGGCTTTGCATACTTTCAGAACTAAGCTGCAGTACAGAGTGACTTTGAGGGTTGACACTACTTTCTACAGAGAATTAAACCCACCTATGAGTAATCTTTCTCACTGGCAGATCGGCAGCAGAAGTTGGTTATATGCAACTAAATGCAACTCTGCAAACTCCCAAATCTCTGCTTTCATAGAGGTGCTCACATGTGTTGACAGTCATTTAATCAACTCTCGTAAGGGCTTTTTGTTAAATAAGATGGGATAAAAACTCATGTTTGAGTTATTTGAGGTTTTATTTACTCATTTTTATTTACCTCATTTTAAGGCCTGCTAAAGAACGGATTACTTTTATTTTATCCTGTTGTGTAAAATCTTATGAGTATACTGGAAGTGAAGTTACCTGAAAAGAAAGTTAAAATCTGAAATGACACTCAAAAAATATATCTCAAAACATGTCTTTTTATTAATTGTATTTTAAATTCATCAAATCATTTGGGATCACACTTAGTTTTTTTAAATAACTTTTTCATTGTAAAAAAAAAATCTGGTGCATATTTGTTACTAATAAGCCAAAAATAAGTGCATATAATTAAAGTGTGAGTAGTAGCAGAGTGCCTTTTGATGCCGTAAAAGTTTATTACACACTGATGATCATGTCACAGTAACCTGTGTCACTGATGTTTGATCAGTAGCTTTATCTCTTTGGGCCTCCTGGGTTATTGTGTAAAATGAAAATAGGTGACTTGTTTTCCAGCTCGCAGCCACATTTCCTCTCCTGTTTGTTGGAACAAAGTTAAAATGTTTTTCACCTGGACTTTGCTGGCCCTGCTTTTTACGTTGATTTTACTGTGAGTATTCCTCCAAAGCAATAGCTGGGTGTCATCCTGGCAGAGTTTTTTTATTTTTTACTGTCCAACTGATGATCCCAATTTTTTTTCGTTTTTTTGTAATACAGATATGGAATATGGCCATATCGGTTCTTCAAAAAGCTGGGGATACCTGGACCTCGCCCCCTGCCTTTTATTGGAACGATGCTGGGCATGAGGAAGGTACGCACAGAAACCAAACTCACCTTAGAGACTGGGATATGAAGAGCTGACTGATTTGATCCTTGAGAATTCGAGATGAGTGAGCTCTCTGTACACTTTAGATGTCCTATTCAGTGGTTTTGTTGTTTTTTTTGGACACTAAAACAGATTTTCTTGTAACTTCTTGTAGGGATTTCTTGCTTTTGACAGAGAGTGCCATGCCAAGTATGGGGACATCTGGGGGTGAGTTCTTGCTTCATCAGTATACATACAAGAAATCACCAGGAGGTCTGTTGATATCAAATCCTGTCTGTGAGCCATGATCACTGCCATGATCACTGGGACAGGGTGGAAAAAATATTCACTGGCTCACATTTTTCATGAAGCCATTTCTCCTTTTGGCCTGAAGCAGATCTCTTTTGGTGGAAGCATAGCATCCAATGTTCTTTATTTTAGGGATAAAAGGGGAAAAAGTTTGGGGACAGTTCTTTACAACACAAGGCGAAGTTTCTGAAATGCATATATCCTACTATATCTACACTAGGTTCACAAAAAGGTTCACAGTATAAGTATGTCAAAATTCCTTTATCAATATTTAGATTAAAATTTATATAAAATGATTAATAGAAGATTTGAAAAGCAGTTATTTCACTTCAGCTTTAAATTTGTTCATCCTTTTTCTAGAGGTGGGAATCACCATACATCCCACGATACGATATTATCACAATACTTAACGCACGATACGATATTATTGCAATTTTTAAAAATATTTTGCAATGTTCAGATTCTGTACATAAAGGTAAACTTCATCAATATTCATTTTATCTAATATCAAAGTCTCGCACTCAGTCATTCTCTCATTTCAGTCAGTTTTATTGTTGACAAACTGAACGGTTTGTATTACAGTCTAGTCCAACTTAACTGAATGCAACCATCTGGTACAATTATAGCTATTCTGAACTATGCAATTTATAAAAACTATGCAGCCCATTCAGCAACTGAAGAATTTGAAAGTAAATTAAAACAAAATATAATTTTGCATTAAATAAAAAAGTTTTACACTTAATTAAAATAAAACATGTCTTAAATTAAAAGAAGTAAACTGTCATGTTTATTGCTGCCACAAAAAAGTTAAACACATTTGGACAGTGAAGGAATGTCAGGATTCTTGCTCAGAAAAAGGATCAACATGCTCTGAAGTCAGAGTTCCAGTCCACAAAAACTTTTTTTGTAACAAAATATCGATTTCTGCTCTCCCTGTATCGATACATTATTAGCAAACAAAATATCACGATACTACACAGTATCGATTTTTTCCCCACCCCTACCTTTTTCCCTTTTTTGCCAAATGAATTCCAGTCAAAGTATGAGTTCAGGGAATGTGAAGTGAGAAACATATGAAAACCTACAAAAATAAACTCTATAAAATTTCTTATTCCATTGTCATGTATTTATTTAATAATAATAAGACCGTGATATCCCATTTGTAGCATCACGTGTAATCGATGTAATCACCATCGATGTGTAATTTTACTACCTGCACAGATGAAAAAACCTCTTTGATCTGAAGGTGCTTTACATATCCAGATGCTTAATAATGCCTTAAATGATTTGCTGTGATTTAAGATTTAAGATACTGTGAAAGGCTCTTTCCTTTTCTGCAGGTTGTACGATGGACATACGCCGGTGTTAATGGTGACCGACCCTGAGATTGTTAAAACTGTGATGGTAAAAGAGTGCTACTCTTTATTTACCAACCGCAGGGTAAGAGGCTCCGCTTTCTATCGTACAGTAGAGTGAAAATTCAGCAAATCATGAAACCTTTGGATGTCCTGTCAGCGCAACACTCCCCAAAAGAGTTTTATCTTTTGCTTTTCTTTGAAAGCTAAACTGAAATATGTTCCCCCCTAGATATATCATTAACATGGGGTAAAAGGGCAGGTTAATAATTACGTTTTACTCAGGCCTGTCCAAACTCTAATTCCATATCTAGTTCTAATTCCATATACATTGATCTGTCCAAACAAAGTACTACATGAAAATGCATAATATAGAGCTATCACAGAAATGATACTACAAGATATTACAAATGATATTACATTATCTGAGCAAACTACACGTGTCGTTAGGGGACTGGAAGATGTTGGTGGACGCAAACTGTAAACACTAAGAGTAGTTTTTCCTTGTCGTTTTCCTTTTCAAAGGATTCTGGTTTCTTCAGCGAACCTCTGGATCAGGGGTGCCCAATCCCGGTCCTCGAGAGCTACTATCCTGCAGCTTTTAGATGCATCCCTACTCCAACACAGCTGAATCAAATGGTTTGATCTCTTCAGCATGCCATCATGTTTGGTTAAGGCCTGATAACAAGCCATTCATTTGATTCAGGTGTGTGGGAACAAGGATGCATCTAAAAGCTGCAGGACGGTAGCTCTCGAGGACCGGGATTGGGCACCCCTGCTCTGGATGATGCAGTGGCAGCAGTGAAAGACAAACGGTGGAAACGGATTCGCAACACTCTGTCTCCATGCTTCACCAGTGGAAGACTGAAACAGGTCGATATCATATGTGGGTTTATTAACCACGTCTGTGTTTAATGTGCGCTTACAACAAAAGTAATAGATTTATTTCTTGTTCAAATGTCATCACTTTGTATTGGGTTTTTTCCCTTAAACTACTTATACAGGCATCATTAAAAAGTTTTGGCACCTTTACACATAATATATAAAATCACTAACATTTAGCTGTTTCTTTGGATAATACTGACATAAAGGTACACAGTAATTTGAGGTATTTCAGGAAATCACTAACATAAGGCACTATTTATAGCTCCTAATAGCCTTATTCCACTATTTCCACTTTAATTTAAAGTGAATTGTGTTCTGGTACTTGCCGTTCCTTTTTTAAGTTCCCAAAGTGTGCAAATAATTATAGCTACATGTTGTCCACGGCTCAAAATATAACCACATAACAGACCCTTTTGGCTGCCCCCTTATTCAAAAGGTGTCATTACACCTATTACATTTAGCAGATTGTTATACTAAATTTCTGTCTTCTCCTGGTACCAAACCAGTGAGTTTTTGCTTGTTTGGCAATTGTGAAAACCACCTTATTATGGAGCTACCAAACATACCACTAGTTATTATTATTATTATTATTGGATATCACTAATTATTTATAAATCCTCAGAGAAATCAGTAATTTTCAGAATAAACAAGAATTTGACTCTTTTATTGCTCTTTTATTGTTTTATTTTGTGGCAAACATGGGTATATTTCTCCAAAATAAAATAAAGGTACCAACATTAGAGCATTCAAAATATAATATAATTCTCTTATTTTGTCTTTTATTCCTTTAAGATTTTCCCCCTCGTTGCTCGCTATGCAGAACGACTTGTTGCAAAACTTGAGGAAACGAATTTGGATGAACCCATCAATGTCAAACAGTATGTTGTTAATCTGTAAAATGCCAGCACATTACACTGTTCATCCTAAAATAACTGAAGCATTCACCACATGTATTTTCAAATCTTATAGGTTTGTAGCTCCTTACAGTTTGGACACTGTGACCAGTGCTTCTTTCAGTGTGAAGACAGACTCCATAAACAATCCAAACGACCCTATTAATGTTCAAATTATGAAGGTCCTTAAAGTCAACACTGGGTTTTCTTTTTGCTAAGTATGACCTTACTTTTACTCTTTTACACAAACTCCATTTGATCATATCCTTTTGTTAACCACTCTTTACTCTTCTTTCAGTGGCATTTCCCCTCAGTCGTCGTCTGTTAAAGCAGCTCAAAATTGAGATCATGCCCGAAGAAAACATAAACTTTTTCCTCAACATTATCAAGCGATTTAAAGATGAGCATCATGAAGCCAAATTTGTAAGCATTATATCTGTAAAGGAAGACCAACATTATCTAGTCTGTATGCACTTACCTCTGGGTCATTTTCAAGTCCTGCTCTGAATGCTTGTCTGCTTTAAACCAGACACGACCAGACTTCCTGCATGTGTTGATTCAAAGTGAGATCCCAGAAAAGAACTATAAGAACAATGAAGAACAGCCAAGTAAAGGTATGTTTTTATCGGAGAAGAAACCAAGCCCAAGTTAGCCTCCAGTCTCAAATATGAGGTCTCCGATATATGATGGAGTCTTAAGAGCTTTGTATTTAAGGATGAGGATTTTAAATTAAATTCTGTATAGCTGTATACTGATCATTTATTTTAACAGTTAATGTCAAAATACATATTTTAATACAGGGCAGAGCTCACGAATGTAGTTGAGACAAGCTCTGGGTGATAGTGAAGAGTTTTGAGTGTTTTTAAGTGTTGAGGGGAAACTGCCAAGAATGTGTTTGATGTATCCTCTGGATAGAGGAAAGAGGACAAGGAGATTTAGTGATTTAAAAATGGAGAAGTACAAGAAAGTATTCAAACGTAGAGGTTAGCGAAGAAAATGTGAACTAGGGAGATGAACACAGTACACAGGAGAACTGCTCTTGCTTTCACAATGTTAATGGACACGTTGACAGATGACCTCAGGCAGTGCTGTTCACCGATGACATTTGTAGTGAGCGAAGGGAGCAGGTGGAAGAAAGCCTGAAGAGATGGAGGTATACTTTGGAGAGAAGAGGAAGGAAAGTCAGTAGATGCAAGACAGAATACATGTGTCTGGATGAGAGGGAGACAGATGCTACAGTGATGCTGCCAGGAGGAGAGATACTGAAGCTATAGGAGTTTAATAGACTTGTAGTCAAGACCGCATAAACCGTGACCAAGACAAGACCAAGACCAAAGGGTATCGAGACCAAGACAAGACCAAAACCAAGACCAAGTCGAGATGAGACCAAGACCGAGACAAAAAAAATCTTTAAACTGAAAAATTGGCTTTTGAAAAAATGACCCGGGCTTAAGCCCAGTAAGCCACCCACCCACCGCTCCGCCAGTGGTTGACTCCAAATCTCCCGAACACTATTTCAATCTGAGAAGTAAGACCGACACAAGACCAAGACCAAAAGTCCGTTGAGACCAAGTCAAGACCAAGACCACATAAAAGTGGTCTCGAGACATCCAACTCTAGAGTTTAAATACTTGGGGTCAACCATCCAAAGCAACAGATAGTCCAGAAGAGAGTGGACTGGACATAGAGTGAAGTGGGTGTATATGAGTGTGAGGGGGGAAAGCTAACAAGACTGTAGTTGTGTCTACATGTAAGGCTTAGAGATGGTGACCCTAGAAAAGGCTGAGCTGGAGGTGGAAAGCTCAGGTTGAGCACTTTAACGATAAGGTTAGAGAACGAAGGCTGAGATAGTTTGTACATGTCCAGAGGACGGATAGTAGATATGTTAGGTAAAGGGTGTTGAAAATGGAGCTGCCAGGAGGGAGGGAAAGGGAAAGACTCAGAGGAAGCTCATCTATGTAGTAAAGAAGGACACGCAGAGCGTTAGTGTGACAGAGGAAGATGCTAGCGACAGTGTGAGATGGAGAAAGATGATCTGCTGATCAATGATAACCTGAAGGAAGATGTACAGTAATTCTTTACATAATTTTCTGCCATCTATGTTTGAATAATGGACAACAATTTATTTTCTTTTTGTGCTTGCCACCTCCATTATTTGTCTAGGCGCCCATTTTATACGAGGAGCTGACCAGTCTAAAGTACCTGGACCAAGTTATACTTGAATCAATGCGACTGTTTCCCGTTGCCCCTCGCCTCGACAGGGTGTGCAAAAAAACTGTCAAAGTGAATGGACTCACCATCCCCGAAGGAACCACAATTGGAATTCCTGCGTGGGTGTTGCACAAAGACCCACGCTACTGGAACTCACCTGAGCTTTTCAGACCAGAGAGGTAAATGTGTGCCATTACAAACTTATTGAAAACTCATCCACTGGGACATAATTCTTAAAGAAAATGTTGTGTTTGTGCAGAGTAACCCAGCCATATCTCTCTTTTTACACACCTGTTATGTTATTTTTTAATGTTTCAAATAGCGGAATAAACGTAAAAGTCTCATCTGTATCTGCAGGTTCAGTAAAGACAGCGGGGAGGAGGTGAACCCATACACGTACATGCCATTTGGACTCGGCCCTCGTAACTGCGTTGGGAGGCACTACAGCCTACTCACCACGAAGATGGTTATTGTCCGTCTCTTGCAGAAGTACACTTTGGAAACATGCAAAGAGACAATGGTAAGAACAGCACTCTGCCACATTCAGACTGTCATACAACTATGCTGTCATGTTCCTGATTTTCTTTTCTTTTTCTTTTAGATTCCACTTCAGTTTGACTGGAAGTTTCAGCCAGTAAAACTCAAGTTTGTTCTCAGAAAAGAGTAATCTAAGAGGGAACGTCTCCAAATCCCATCAAACATGTTTTTATATCTGCTGCCAAGATAAATTCACTGAGTTGATATTTTCAACTATTTCAAAATGTTATTGAATGAGAGCAGGTTAAACATCTGATTTTGCTGTGTTGATCTCTTTTAATTACTTTTATTTAAATTGTGTTGAAAAATTGATCTATTTTGTGTCCAAAAGTTACACCAGTCTGTGTCTTAAATGGACCTTACACTTTTGACTTTAGCGTTTATATATTTTTAAATTGTAATTGCATTTATTAAATCATAAGGCTACTGCTTGTGCGATACACCTCTCATTGATGACTGTAGTTTTGTTATTGGTGGTATCTGTCTCCATCTAGCTTCAACAGCTGGCAACAAGCGTTAGATTTGTTCTAAACTTTGACGACTGTCCATTGCTGGTTATATAGAAAGAAATTTCAGATTGTGTCATCAAATGCAAATACTTGCATCGCCTGTTTACCGTCAGTGTCTTTCATGTTTTCACAATAAAATATGTCCAAAATCCAAAGTTCCAGCATATGTTTCCAGAACTGAGCCTCTGTGCTTCTTCTTCTATGCTGACAATTTGGACAAATTTCGTTTTCCAGAAGGAATAGTTCCACATGCTCCTTCTTTTATTGTTTTTAACAGTGGTATGTTGAACAAATGCAGTACTGAGTAAAAATCTGTAAAAAACTGTAAAGTTTGCCTGTTTCTACAGTAACAGGAATGCTTTCATGTCAACAGCATCAGCCAAAAGATCAGATTATCCTTCATTTTCAGGACCCTCATCACATGCACTGAACATTAACTTTTTACTCCTAAGTGGATTTCACTGGAAAGGATTTCAAAGGTGATACAAAGTTTCCTAGTAAATTTTATACCATTTCATCAATTTTAAAACAACAAATAGGTTTAAAATAAGCTAAATGGAACTATTATGCTTTTAATAATTTTAACTTATATAAGTTGCAATGCTGATGGTTAACCAGTTTCAAATAATAAAGTCCGAACGTGTAAAATCCCTAGAAGGCTCACTGAGTTCCACCCACTTTGTTAAAATCATCCCTTTAGAGGGTTAAAATGGCTTGTTTCATAGACAGGATAAACTGGGGAGCTGAATAAAGCAGCGGTCCTAAACCTTTATTGCACCACAGACCGGTTTATGCCAAACAATATTTTCACAGACTAGACTTTAAGGTGTTGCGGATAAATACAACAAAATAAAACCGGTACCC